GCTGCTGGAGCGCCTGGAGGCGGCGCGGGAGCGCGCGCTGCGCTGGGTACGGCCCGGGGGGCCCGGGACCCCAGCCTTCCACCGCCGGGGTCGGTAGCGCAGACGGGGCGATGCTCGCTCCAGAGGGACCGCGGCACGAACGCGCAGGTTCCGGCATCAGCAGGCGCTTAAGGGCACGGAAGGCCAGCGCCATCAGTACCTGAGTCCCCGCCTGCCCTCGGGTCCCCGGGAGCGCCCTCGGGTGCCCAGCTGGTGGGGGGACACGAGGCCCCGCCCGCCTCCCGCCTGAATCGGAAGGGGCGGGCCGTTCCCCAGGAATCCGCGTGGGCTGGGATCCAGAACACGGCCGCCGAGAAGACCCTGCTCCTGGGGCGCGCTAGGATGTCAGTGCTGAACCTGTTCCAGCTGGTGTGCCAGCATCAGAGGCAGCCACCTGCCCTGGGCATTGAGGACACCGAGGGGCAGCTGGAACAGGTGAGCCCTGCTGTCACCACCAGCCCCCAAACCTTGGGAACATCAGGATCCCCGATATCCCACCTCTCTGGGTTAAGCCTGACCCTCGGTGACCAGAGGCCATGCTCCTTAGTGCCACAGACGTGGGCCCGATGGCTGTGGAGGCCCCTGGGTTGGTCTTGGTCCTGTCATCTGCTGTGTGGCCAGAAGGAAGTCATGCCCCTCTGGGTTTCAGTGTCCTGCTCACGCAGGAGGGCCAGGGTGTATCCTGAGGGCCTCTGTACATTTATGCCAAGAGTCAAACAAGTGACATCAATAGAAAACCAAGTCAAGGCTCCCTTTTAATTAATCACAGATGGCCTTGGCTGCCCCTGTGAGGGTGGGGGTGGGGTGGAGCAGTGGTCTCTGCACCGTGGCATCACAGGTTTGCAAGGTTTACGGCTGAAGGAAGGGGCTGCTCACTTTGGAGACACTTGTTTCTGGGGGGTTCCCAAAGCATGACCCCACTGAGGAGTGGGGGAGACAAAGGGAGGCACCCTCTTTTCCTCCCACCCATCCCACCTCTGCCCTGAGCCCAATGGCCAGGATTCCAACCAAAGGACCAGAACTGGGGCCCACCTTTGCGCCACATCCTGAGTAGGGTGGATTTTTGTGGACCACCGCTCTCCCAAGTGTGGCTCGGGAGCAGAGGTCCATGTCCAAATGACGCCAGGAGGGACAGAGGCCTGACATGCAGCAACAGTAAAAGCCGATCCCTTTTCAACCAACTCTCTGATCCCAACTTGGGGGTGACTAGGCCTTCACCCTGGCACGGCTCCCTGGTCTCGGGGCCTGGGACTTGCCCCATCAGCAAAAGCAGCTGGCCAAATTCAGTAAGTTTTGTTTTCATTGTAGCTATTTTTCCAATTACCCTACTTATGACAGGGGTGACTTAATTTTTTTTCCGTTTTTGCTGGAGATAGTTTCCTTCTCAGATGTTTACTTCAGTCAGAAATGTGACAGGAGAGCCCCAGGGAAGGTTCACCACCATGTCCTGGTTCCTGGCAGTGGATCCAGGGGTGCTCATTAAGTCCATATCACTGAATAAGTTAATTAAAACAAAACAAAGGTGGGCCACCCATGGAGAAGATGAGAGTGGGTTAGACGCCAACAAATATGACTGATCCAATTAAAAGGGAAAAATAAATTGATGGAAGTGAAAATATGAATTTAATTATAATACAGGTGATAGGCAGCTGGCAAACTGTGAAGGCATCTGCTAAGGAATCATCTGAGAGGCTGACTGGGGTTTTAAAATCCCAGAACAGGCCAGGTCACTGCCCCTGGGACCCACCAGCACTGCTGTTTTTTAAAGAGGTCTCCACCCTGACTCCAGCCCCACAGCATCCCATGCACTGGGGGGTGGGGACTGGACACTCAGGGGCTGGGATGTGACTCTGGCTGTGTTGGGGACCCCCAGGTGAAGCTGTTCATCCTGGACCTCTCTGCCATGCTGGCCAGCCTTCCCCAGGGCAAGCCGGAGACCCTGGCCCCCTAGCCTGACCCAGGTGAGTAGTGGGGGAGGGGGGCCCTCTCCCCAAGGGACCTCCCCTCCCTGGGGACACCCACCCCACATCCACCACCTGGCCTGGGGCCAGGCCCTTCCTCCAGGTGGTTGAGGGCAGTAAACTAGTATTTGTCAGGTGCTTGCAATGGGGCCAGTGCAAATTCTAGTAAATTCCAGATGATTGGTTAAGTCAAGTAATACCAATAGGACCGGCAAGAGGGTCTCAGGGGCCGATACCCACTCACAGGACACCTGCTCACAGAGGCTCCTCCACTGTGGACTGGCACTTGACAACCACCGGGTTGATAATCCAGCTGCCGGAGCCTGCCCTTGACCTTCCCATGGCCCAATAGAGGCTGAGGAGCACAGGCCTTGGAGCAGGACAGAGGCTGGGACAGGTTCTGCTCTCTCGGTGTGTGGTAGGGCAGTGTTAACCCCTTCAAAGCCAGAGCGGAGTAGCTGTGCCCTCTGTCCTAAACCCTGCACCATGTCTCCCTCCCACCGTCTACTCCTAGCTGCAAGGCTGGCCCGGCAGGAGGAAGGGGACCGACAGCCAGCTTTGGGGCTCTCCCACCTCAGGCAACTGATTCATCCTCTGAGCCTCAATTTTCCTCATCTGCAAAAGGGGGACACCAACAGAACCCACCCTCAGGGGATCCCTGGGGTGATGACTCAGGACTTGCCCACACGCTCTCAACTCAGCCAGCGCACTAGCTGGGATTTTAGTGTCTGGGTCTGTCCCTTCCAACTCCTCAATTGCACGCCTGGTCCGCCAGAGGTGCTCAATGAAGGTTTATTACATGAAAAGTACATCACTGGGCCTCAGGCACTAACAGCTCAGACCCATGCAGCCACCACCTCTGAACCCAACACATGAAGCAGCAGGAGCAGAGTTGCCAATTCAGGGTGTGAACTCCTATGCACCCCTCAAGACCTTGCTCAAATGTCCCTGTCTCAGGCAGAGGCAGCTGCTGCCCTCTCTGGCCGTACAGCACTCCTTTTCGTGGACGATGGTTCTGCAGGGAGCTCCCCGCATGCCCAGCACAGGGCCAGGCACACCACGCTACACAAGGAGCATTTGCTGATGTCCACACTGGCACCAGGCTTTTAGGAGCCGCAGGGCTGGGTCATCTTCACATCTTCTTCCTCATCTTGCCCTTCCTGGAGTGAGTGCCTCGGCCGAAGGCACCCTGCTGCAGCTCCCGGGCATGGCGCCGGTTGCGGGCAGAGAGCTGCTTGAGCCCCCCTCGCTGCAGGAAGCGCATCTTCTGGGCCTGGCGCCTCTGCTTCAGGATCTGCTGCTTGGTCTTGAGCTCTGAGCGCACACGGCCTGCGGAGGCACCTGGGGTGCGTGGCTGGGAGGCACCTGCCAGGACAGGGGTCCAGGGAGCTAAGCCTCTGGGCCAACTCCCAATGTCTCCTCCTCCCAGAATCCTCCAGACTGCTCCCTTGCCCCTACCCCTATTCTGCTGTTCATTGCTGTGGCCCTGGCCTCTAGCACATAGTAGGTGCTTAACAAAGCTTAAGTAGCCTACTGTATGGGTCAGCAGCATGGAACTTCAAGCCAGAGCTGCCAGGGTTCAAATCCCAGTTGGGGCCTCTTACAACCTGGGCAAGTCATGTAACTTCTCTGTGCCTCAGTTTCCCCCTCTGTGAATTATGAATAGCACCTACCTACCTCATGGGTCCTAATGAGGAGTCAATGAGTTAATAAATGTACAATGCTCAGAACAAGATCTAGCTCATAGTAAGGGCTCTTATGTGTAATTATGATGATTATAAATATTTCAACAAAGCTTGACTGAGCACCTCCTCTATGCCAGGCACTGGGGGCCCAGCAGTGACTGAGAGCCCAGGACATAGTCCCAAGCTCCCCTCTCCTCAGGGGAGGCCCGGGTGGGAGGTGGCAGGCAGGTGGGTAGCCCAGGGCTAGTCACTACCCTCATGACCACTTCAGCGTCCCTGCCTGTAAGGTGGACATTCTCAGTCTTCCCGCCCTAGGTCACATTTGGTGAGTGTCTAGCAGAGCCTGTCTCCACACAGCAAGTGGGAGCCGGAGCCCTCTCTGACTGCACGCTTAGGAGGGGTTGGGACAGGCTCCAGTCCCCTCCCTTCAGAGCACATCAAAGCCCTGAGGGGCAGACCGAGGTCCTGGCATGTGAGGTACAGGCTCTGGCAGAGGGTTCAAATCCCCTTAGCCTGTCACCAGCTAAGGGACCAAGTTCCCAGATGACCGAATGGATGTACCACTTGCAAATGTGCGTTTGGGGGTAAATCCTACCTTGGCTTCGGCCCCGCTTCCAACCCCTTCGCTCTGGGCCTCGCCGGTCTGACGCTCCTTCCTCCTCGGAGTCGCGGTCATCGATTTTCTGTTTCTGCTTCCACTTCTGGTAGCTGGGAGGCTGTGTTAAGGAGGCTGCTTGTGAGATCCCGGAGCCCTTGAAACCCCTGGGCTGGGAGAAGGGCCCGCCCATGGGAGGTGGGGGTAGGAGGTGCTCGGCCCCGCCCCTCAGGATACAGGTCCCGCTTGTAGGAGCTGCTGATGTAGCGCCCACTTTCTGTCCTGATCTTCTTCTTGTCCTCCTGGCCTGACTGTCCCACAAACCGCTTCTTCTTCCGGTCCCTGCAGGAGAGAGAGATGGGTGGGCGGCCGTGGACGGAGGTGGCCTGGGAGGGCCTGTTTCCTCCCCTGACCCTCTCACTGGGGTGGTGGAGGATTCCAGAAAGAGTGTGGCCACGTCTGGCATGCAGTAGGTGCTCAATGAAGGCCCATCCCCGGCCCCTCCTGATCTTTCCCTGGTATCCCAGGTCTCAGGCAGTATGGGGGTCAGCAGAACCCGGGGGTGGGGGGGCAGTCTGAGGCTGGGTGAGGGACAGGGTTCCCAACCCCCACTCTGCCACCTCCTTGCTCTGAATGGGGGTGGGGTGGGGTTCACTGTCCTTACTTTGTGATTACATGGGGACAGGATGAGGGAGTCACAGGTCATAATTCGTGTTGTGCAGGATTAAGGAGGGGGCGGGGGTGGCACATTCCTGCTCTAGGGTTCCAAGAGGGGTGGGGACAGGCAGGGGGTCGCATGCTAGCTGTGTGGAACCACTGGCAGACAGGCGGGCATGGGAGGGCTGTGCTGCGGAGCTCACTCACCACTTGAGCTGCTGCCGGCCCCTGGTCAGGTTCTGGGTCTCATCCCCCATCAGGTCCAGGACCGCGCCAGCCACCTGCTGCTCGAAGGCGCCCGCATCCCCACCAACGCTCAGGCTGCAGAGGGAGGGTGGGGAGGTACAACAGGGTCGACGGGGGCCCATCAGGCCCCACCTGCCACACGCACACACCGGCTGGCCGCTCACCCCCGCTCACTGTCGAAGTCCTTGGGCCGATAAGGGACATAGAAATCCCGGTCCCGCTGCCGGGCCTCCTCCTTCCGCCTCTTGGCTCCACAATCCGGTCCTGGCTGTGGCCGTTTCCGGCCCACGACCTCTGTGAAAACGTCCTGGCGGATGGAGGCCCAGTCACACCTGAAGCCCAGGGGAGCCCACCTGCCCCCCAACACCAGTCCAGCTCGGAGCTGCCATTTAGACCCTCCATTTCCTCCCCTGCAGGTGCAGCACGACCGAGCCTCAAGCACCATCAGGGTCAGGACAGGTAGGGGAGGGGGACTGAGGTGCCAACCAGGGAGGGATCCATGCTTCAGCCCAGAAGGCTGTGTGACCGAGGCAAGGCCCTGCCCCTCTCTGGGCCTGGCCTTGCTCTATGCACTAGTCCAGGAGTTTTCAAATGTTACGTTTTGGCTATGAACCCCCTATCCAAATCAAATGTAAGAGGGCGGATGAGTAGGCCTGGGACCCCACCCACCAGGTGAACAGGCCCCCAGCCCTGCCTTCTGGCACTCAGGCCCAGCCTCCAGAGTCCCGGGTGGGGCTGCACCTCCACACTCTCTTGCGCCGCCTCCTCAGGCTGTTCCTCCTGCTGTGCTGGGCAGCTGGGGGCTGGGCTGGCCAGGCCCTCCTTCCGCTCCTGTCGCCCCTGCTGGAAGCTGGCGATGGCCTTGCAGTCCTTCTGCCGCTTGGCACGCATCACCTGGCTGCTCAGGTCCCGGCTGGAGGCGTTGATCTCAAAGATGGTCTGCGGAGGTGACACACTAGTCCTTCACCCACTGGCCTCCCCTCCCCAATTCCACCCCTACCAACCTGGCGGGCTCTTTATGGCATTCCTCCCCAAGTCCCTTCAACCCTCCCAGGTGGGCACTCTCATTATCTGCATATCACAGTTAGAAAAGGAGTCCCAGGGAGGGCAAGTAACCTGCCCAAGGTCACACAGCAGGGATGAGCCAGAGCTGGGATTTCAGTGTAGGTCCGCCTAGCTCTGAAACCAGTGCTCTCAACCATGACCTCTGGCCCCTCTTCCCTGATGCTGGCGGGCTGGCACGCTGGCCCATTCCTGGGAAGGTCTAACCCTGCTGCAGAACACACCATCCCCAGGTACAAGATGGGGTGCCCAGTGAGAGTCGAGGAGATGAAAGGCAACAGAGAGCCAGCTCCTCGGGCCTCTAAGAGGCCCAGGGCACGTCGCTCCCTCTCTGAGCCTCGGTCTACCCATCAGTAACTGGGAGGAAATTGTTGCCACAGGAACCTAGAGATGCTGACAGAGCCAGAGATACAGACTAAGAAACTTCAAGCTCAAATGGAGATCCCTGCTGCGGCGGTGCTCAAGCAGGCCCAGCCCCGCGGTGGCCACTGTGGTCCCCGCCGGCCCGCACTCACCGCCCTCGAGCGGTACTTCTTGATGCTGTCCACCAGCCTCAGCCGCTGCAGCTCCTGCTCCTCGAAGCGAGAGCCTGGCGGAAAGGGGGGTGAGGCCAGGGGCGGCTCTGCAGGGCCAGCCCGCCGCCCCCGCCCTGCACAGGGACTCACTGAAGAGGGGGTGCAGGCCCAGCCCCGCGAGGTCCAGCTCCTTGGCCCGCTTGATGGACTCGGGTGAGGGCGCCGGCCGCGAGCGCACGTATTGCTGCTGAGCATTGTCGGCCACTCGGCCCAGGCCCTGCAACTCCAGAGACGCCTCCAGGGTGCTCCGCAGGCCGCAGTCCTCGTCGTCCACCACGCTCTGTGGCACCCGGCCCAGCACGCCATCCGTGCCGGCTGAACCTGCCACGCCACACGGAGCCTGATCAGAGAACTGTCACCCGGCCCACATGCGCATGGCCTGGCCTCCCCTCGCCAGCCTCATGCTGGCCCCCGAATCACAGAATCATCTCGGGGGTTGCTGACCCGTACTACGTAGGTAGGCCTATGGTGGTTGCGTCCATACTACGCATGTCAGCATTTTTCTTGTTATTTCCTAAATGATACAGTACAACACCTATTTACATAGCACTCCCATTGTATTATCATAAGTAACCTACAGGTGACAAAGTTACGGGAGGTTGTACATACATTACATGCAAATGTTATGCCATTTTATACAAGGGACCTGAGCACCCACGGATTTTCGTATCTGAGGGGTCCTGGAACCAATGCACTGCGGATACCGAGGGAT